CCAGCGTGTCTCACCTGTCCTGGCTCCTTGGGAAATTAACTCTATCCTTGCCAGAACCAGGACAACCTGTCATCCCCTTAACTCCAGAGGCAACAGAGCTTGTGGTAAAGGCAAATGTATGAACTTCCATCCTTGTGAAGGATCAGGAGGGAACTGATGTTTATATGAAGGAGAGAGGACGAATTTGCTGAAGGATATCTGTCAAGCCCAGAAAGGATTTGGAAGAATATTTGGGGCTCGCTCTTCTGCAGAGCTGGAGATGCTGGAATTGGCTTTAATGGGAGGTGATGAACTGACTGCAGAGAGAACTGAGTTGTTGGCTCAGGTAGATGAAAAAGAAATGAAAAATCAATTGCAGTTGTCTGGCTCAACAGCTCTAGTGTAATACACGTCTGAAAAATCCACTCGAGTTTTTATAGTCACTAGCACTGTAAAAAAAAACCCAAAAGTAAAGTTGGTCCTCCACCCACGAGGTTTGTCTATATGACGATACCGAGGAAAGTGGATCTGCTGTTAGCTGGTGTCAGGAAAGCCTGTGGGGCCCAGGTTTGCCAGCAGAAAGGTGTTTTCAGCACCATTCATCTCAGGCTCAACTTGGGAAGGCTAGTTGCTGTTTTCAAGGATAGAAAAGTTTCCCTGAGCCCATCCCAGAGTCCTAACCCTGTTCAGTTAAAAGGCTTGCAATATTTTGGGAGTGATCAGCTGCAGCACACTGGGATTTTGGACCCAGTCCCAAGCAAGACAGGTGGGCACTAAAGAAGAAAACAAACAAACAAAAAGGTGTGGTACAGTGTATTGACTATTGGTTTTTCTAGTCTAAGATACAGTATCAAGCGACTTATTTGACTCACTTAAGAGAAAAAATACCAGAAAGAAAAAGACTTTGATCATTAATTACAGGAAAAAGGTAGAGAAAACAGCATAGAAAAATGAAAATAATTGTTTCTAAAATGTAGGGACTCAAGAGGTAGGCATTAGGTGCTCTTAAAAATCCCACAAGCAGCTTATTATCCTTCTAAGTACTTAAATATTTATTTTTGCATCTTTGGCCGAGTGCCTTGTGTGAGCTGCTCATGAACAGGTCAGTCTTTCGTTCGTTATTCTGCTTATTGGATCACAGGAATCATTCCGGCCCTCAACACCCCG